AAATCTAGTTTAACCCCTGTTTGACACCCATTTTTTTCTCATTCTATTTCTCTTTCTTCATTTCAACCACACATTCTATTAATAAAATAATATTACACATAAACCCAAAAATTCTCCTTACTTTTTAACCACACAATCTTCCATCAATTACTATTCCAAAAATCATTTTTCAACTAAAATGAGTGTCAAATAGGGGCTTGAATACTAACTAATCACGGCACACGACTCACAACATTTGTCCTAAGAAGACCAAGTACATTGTAAGAGAAACAATCAATATGCAAAGGATTATAATGGGGGAATCAAGTGACGCCTCCTATTGGTTGACGCAATAAATAGACAACACTTGATATGACAACATTGAAAGATAGAAAAAAAAACGGGTCAATCATTTGGCCACGTCAGCGTCAATATTACATCTGTCAAAATTTTCCCGTGCTCGAAGCTTTATTGTTGGAGCAAATACTTCTGATTGTCTTTTAGCTACTTGAAAATTGAATTTTTTTTCTTTTTTTTGTGTGCGTGTATGTGTGTATGTGAGTACTTGTTTTCTTGATTTTGATAAATAAGTTGGTGGATCAAGATTGATAAATTATTGCATCTAAAAATTTCAACGGTTAGAAAAGAACTACATGCAATTATTTAAATCTTGTCTTTAATATGCTTAATTTTATATAAATTGAATTATTTTTTCCATTAAATGTTCAAATTTTGCTGCTATTTTATTTTATTTGTTGTCCAAAATTATATGTCACGGACTAAATTGAAGTCAAATTAGTTTTAACTTGCTTTAAATTTTTTTGATATCTTACTTAGGACTTACTTAACGTGCTAAATTGAATATAATTTGACAGTGTTAAGAAAATATAATTAATATCATAATTTTTTTTTTCCAATTTCTCAATATTGTCCCACGACGAACAGTGGACGTGACTAAGTGTAATGACATTCCATTTGATCGTAATGAAAGAACACGATAAAACTTCCTATCTAATATTAACTATGAATGGTTATATTCGCGTCATATTTTCTTACAAAGCACCACATTTAAATTAAGGATCTCTAACATTTATTCATTGTCACATTTAGGCCCTTAACCTTTTCTCCATCACATTGTTATTTTTAATCTTTCACTAAGTAGCACATCTTATCACTGATAATGATCTTTTCCAAAAATTATGCTAAGAGGAAGTAAAATGATTATTTATCCCTCGTATTTTTAAATAAGCAAATAAATATAAAATTGTGATTAAATATTTGTCCCTCATTTTAAAGGAGAAAGTGAATATTTTGAACAAAAATCATTATTAGATATAAATTGTGCTAATTAGCATAAGATTGAGAGCAAGAATACAATTAAAAAAAGGTTAAGAATTTAAGTATAATAATGAATAAAGATTATGGACCTTTAATGCATTACATAGATTATGGACCTTTTAATACAATTAAAATGTAATGCAATTAATATATTTAGCATTAACTATTAAGTCCTTGTTTGGTAATAATTCTTTCGAAAAATATGTGAAAATTACGCCCAATCAGTTTTTTTAAAGAAAAATTTCAAAATAAATTTAATATATATATAACCACCCATTCAAAACCCTAATCATTTTCCTATTCTCATCCCTCTCTCTCTCTCTCTTAACATTTTCATTTCTCTCTTCCATCTCTTTATCCCAACTATTAAAAAATTTTGCCGGAGACCACCGCAGATGTTGCCACTACGATGACATGTCGCAGCTTCCCGCAGTGAGAATGGTGATGTACATAGCGGTCGCTATGCAATGCGCATCGCTGCTGCAGTGACGTGAGCGCCACCGTTGAGGTGAATGATGGGGGATCTGGGGAAAATTTGGTCATGATCTGGTGCTGGAAAATTTGGGGTGAGTTTTGTTGGTCATGTGCAGTTGGTGGTGGTAGCCGTGGTGGTGGTGGGGCGGTGCTCTGAGGTGGTGGTGATTTTCATGAGGTTGTGGCAGTGCCAATTATTTTTGGGCGGTTTTTGTTGGTTGTGTTTGGTATTGGCGGTGGTCGTCGCAATGGTGGTGTCAGTGGTGGTTACTGGTTGTGGTAGCGATGGTGGTCGTCGCAGTGTTAGTGGTGGTGCTACTTTTGTTGTGGATTTGATATATTGGTGCTTTTTGGACGGTGGCGGCGACTGTTTTGTTGGATATTGGTGGTGGTGGTGAGGTGATGATTTTGAAGTTGAAAATGGTAGTTGTTGGAGGTGGTGGTGGTGCCATGGTAGATTGGGGTAGGTAGTGATCCGAAGAGGGTTTGTAACCAATTATTTGAGATTGTGACCATTAATTTGGGTATCATGTGACTAAAAAAAATGACACGTGACTTATAAATTTTGACCAATAAATAATATGTGACCTAAACATTTGAGTTGTGACTTATGAAATATGTTATTTGTGATCGATAAATAAATTGTGACATAAATTTTTTGATTTATGATCGATAAAAAATTTTATTTGTGGCCGCGACGATTTTGTTGGATATTGTTGGTGGTGGTGGTGGTGGGGCGATGATTTTGAAGTTGAAAATGGTAGTTGTTGGAGGTGGTGGTGGTGCCATGGTGGATTGGGGTAGGTAGTGATCCGAAGAGGGTTTGTAACCAATTATTTGAGATTGTGACCATTAATTTGGGTTTCATGTGACTAAAAAATAACACGTGACTTATAAATTTTGACCAATAAATAATATGTGACCTAAACATTTGAGTTGTGACTTATGAAATATCTTATTTGTGATCGATAAATAAATTGTGACATAAATTTTTTGATTTATGATCGATAAAAAATTTTATTTGTGGCGGCGACAATTTTGTTGGTGGTGGTGGTGGGGCGATGATTTTGAAATTGAAAATGGTAGTTGTTGGAGGTGGAGGTGCCATGGTGGATTGGGGTAGGTAGTGGGATGAAGAGGGTTTGTAACCAATTATTTGAGATTGTGACCATTAATTTGAGTATCATGTGAATAAAAAATAACATGTGACCGATAAATTTTGACCAATAAATAATGTGTGACTTAAACATTTGAGTTGTAACTTATGAAATATGTGATTTGTGATCGATAAATAAATTGTGACATATAAATTTTTTGATTTGTGATCGAAAAATAATTTTTATCAATTAATTCAAGAATTTGTGACCAAATTGTGTATAATTGTGACATTAATATATTTAATTGTGACATATTTTTTTTATGTCTGATTGATGAATAATTTATGACCTATAAATTTTTTGATTTGTGATCGTAAAATAATTTATGACCTATAAGATTTCTAATTCGTAATCGAGAAATAGTTTGTGATCAATAGTATAGAATTGTTACATTAATATATTTAATTAATTATTTTATTAATATCTGATTTTTGAAATAAGAAACTTTGTTCCTTAATTTTGAAAATGGTCAAACTTAATATCTTAGATTTAAATTTTTTTCATAAAATATTCTTTACGTAAATCCAAAACTCTCCCTTATTTTTAATCATACATTTTCCAAAAATTTAGGCCCCGTTCTATAATTCTTTACAAAAAAAATGGCTGTCAAAAAAGGGCTAAAGAGAACCCACTAATAAATTATTATATATTTATAAAGGAATAAAAGTATAAAACAAACACGTTTTTGTATCATGAACTAAAAATAAAGTAGAACAATTAATAACGCGATTTATTTTAATTAAAAAAAGAAGTACATTTTTTCCTTGTTACATTTAGAAACAATGAATATAATAGCGCAACACTCAAAAAATATAAAATATAAATACATATATATCATAATTAACTTGGGAGAATACCAGAAAATTACAAATATATATATATTGGTCACTGTCAGTAATGTCTTCAAAGAAATAATTAAAGATCATTCAATGAATAAAAAAATGAATAATAGTAATGAGTTGGATGGATAGGCTATACGACTATGATGGCACTTTTGGTACATAATACTGAACCGTGTCATGAGTCTCGATCAGCAGAAGCTCCATAAGGGAATATCAATATCTTCACAAGGATCTTCCATGATTAATGGATCATAGAATGCTCCATTGAGGAGGATATCTGTGTACTTGGGGGAATCAAAGTTGTACCATGAGGCCATCATAGGTTCATCTGCAACATAGGGTATTGTGTAGTCACTTGTCAATGGTGGTGCTAATGAGATAGCATCATCTTCAATTAGACTAAAGGCAGGTGATGAAGAAGATAAAGTTGTAGATGGGTTGGCTGGTGGTGGTGTTGAGGCTGATGATGTGGAAGAGACGGGATGCCCAGGCGAAGGAAAATCACTGTTGGCGGCTGCGGCGGCAGCCACTCTTTGGATGGACTTAGGGGACATGATGGTATTAGGGTGGAGGTTTTGTGATTTGGATATTGGGAAGTTGAAATTCGCTGAAGTTCCCTTAAGGCATAAAAGAGCTGCATCATATGCCCTTGCAGCTGCCTCTGGTGTTGAATATGACCCTAACCATATTCTTGTTTTTTGGTTTGGTGCCCTTATCTCAGTAACCCATGATCCCCAGCTTCTCATTCTAACTCCCTTGTACTTCTTTTTGTATAAGGATTTAGAACTCAACAATGAAGATGAGGACGAGCGCGAGGATGAAAAAACTTCTTTGGCCGCTCCAAATTGGATCTTTTGCTCTTTCTTCACCATTCTTGGATACTTTGAAGAATCAATATCAGTATCGTCTCACAACGTTCTGAACTCAACTATTGTGTTACTTAAATCTCAAATTGGGAGGAACCTTTTCAACTCAAGAGAGCCAAAATGGGAGGAACCTTTTCAACTCAATTAAAATGTTACTTAAGGGTTTCTCTTTCTTTGTATATCTGATAAGGAAAATGCAATTGGGAAGTGATTATTAAAGGAGAAAAGATTGATATTTATAGATGGGGTTTTGGGTTGGATGTGATGAACGGATCCATTTAGTCAAGGATGGTAATGTCCTCGTTTAACATGAAATGGGTGACAGATATTTTCCAATAAAAAACATATATCAATGATAATGACATTTCTGTACCATGGTAAAACACCTTTTAAGGCCCTTTGAATTGACATTGTAATTGTTTCAAGACTATTATCACTCTTACAGCTCCTTTCATTAATTTATTATTACATTTAGGGTCCGTTTGATTCTCATTGTTGTATAATGAGAATGAAAAATATAATCGTTATTGAGTCTCACACAAGAGATAGAAATTCAAAATTGATGGCTTGATGTGATGGATAACGGTAATTTTTTCATTTTTATGGATGAAAAATGAGAAACAAACGGAGGCTTATTTCAAGATTTCAACAACTTCTTAGATATATGTACAAGATATGTCTCTACATCCTTTTTTTTCCCTCATTTTAGAGCGATAGTTTGTTATATGATCATTTTCAACTATATATTCACACAATAAATATATTTCACGTATACCAAAAACATTTCCCTACTTTTTAATAACACATTTTTCTATAAATTACTATTCAAAACTCCTTATTACTATAATAATGGTTGTCAAATAGGCTCTTATTCTCAACTTATATCATCCCTCGTGTTGACATGTATTCTCATTTTAACGTTTAATAACTCAAAACTGGAGGACAAAGCATAGTTATAATATTGACCCTAAAGAATATAGCTCCGGTTTGGTTCAGTTAAAAAATTAAACTAAAATTTAATGGGTTTCAAACAAGGGCTTGGTGGGATTCACAATATTTTATTGTGTGAATGCGTGGTAGCAAAAAGTAAAATAAATTAATGGGGTTCAAACAAGGGCTTGGTGGGATTCACAATTTTGCAATCATATATTTCATCGCTTTCTTGATAATGACATTTCTGTACCATGGTAAAACACCTTTTAAGGCCCTTTGAATTGACATTGTAATTGTTTCAAGACTATTATCACTCTTACAGCTCCTTTTATTAATTTATTGTTACATTTACGATTCGTTTGATTCTTATTATTGTAGAATGAGAATGAAAAATATAATCATTATTGGGTTTCACACAAGAGATAGAAATTCAAAATTGATGACTTGATATGATGGATAACGGTAATATTTTTCATTTTTATGGATGAAAAATGAGAAACAAACGGAGGCTTATTTCAAGATTTCAACAACTTCTTAGATATATGTACAAGATATGTCTATACATCCTTTTTTTTCCCCTCATTTTAGAGCGATAGTTTGTTATATGATCATTTTTAATTATATATTCACACAATAAATATTTTTCACGTATAACAAAAACAATTCCCTACTTTTTAATAACACATTTTCCTATATATCATTGTTCAAAACTCCTTATTACTAGAATAATGGTTGTCCAATAGGCTCTTATTCTCAACTTATATCATCCCACGTGTTGACATGTATTCTCATTTTAACGTTTAATAACTCAAAACTGGAGGACAAAGCATAGTTATAATATTGACCCTAAAGATTATAGCTCCGGTTTGGTTCAGTTAAAAAATTGAACTAAAATTTAAGTCAAAATTAATAATTATTTTTAATCATACATTTAACCCCTGTTTGATTCTCATTAATTGGGAAAAATGTATGGTTAAAAAATAAAAAAAATTTTGATTTTACGTGTAAAATATTTTATGGTGTGAATGTGTGGCTCGTTTTTCATTTTATTTAATTACCGTTTCAAACAAGGGCTTGGTGGGATTCACAATTTTGCAATCATATATTTCATCGATTTCTATCAAAATTTATTGAAAATTTAATTTAAAATGCATTATCTTTATGAACAAGTTGAAGAGAGGATGAAGCTGCTGCCCCCTTTCCTTTCCAGCTGAGAGGTGTCAAGTTTTTCAAAAGCATCCCCGTCACAGATATGCTAATAATAATATTTTGAAATATTCATTCTAGATCAGTTCTTGACTTAGACCACAAGTCCCTCGGGGCCACTCATCAGTCTTGTGGCCATATGGGTATTATCATCAAGGGTAAAATGAACTTGGAATTGAGTAGTTGAATTCCACTCTTAAAGAACTATAATCTAGTGTTAACTATAAAAATTTCACGTAACCCAAGCAGTAGCATGACATTTGAGCACAAAAAGGAGAAAAAAAAAACTAGCAGTTTGACATGTCTAATTAAAATTCAAACGAATAATCAGATTGTGATATTAGTATTCTAAAACAAGTTATCATTTAACGAGATAGGGGTGGCAATAGGCCGATCCAAGACACTTGAGTTTTGATCGTGTTCCCAAAAAGGCTCAGTTCAACCCTATGACTCATGTGGACAGGAGCCGAGTCAAGAGCTAACAAGTCGGCTCGTGTTATTTTAGTTTTTCCTTAAAAAATGAATAAAATAAGCTAAAAACAAGTTGACCCACGAATTTAAAACAAATCGGCTCTTGAAATAAAAATTGAGCTCGACTCAATCTATGACTCGTCTCAATACAAGTTCGAACTACTCATGAATCGAGTCGGGACGAGCCATACGCTCGAGCCGTCAAGCATCTTGGCCCATTTACCAACCGATATGTTAAAAGGTAAATATTCATGTCCATGTATGTATATGTTAAGTATAATGATCTCTCTCTCTCTCTCCATATTTATATATGTGAATACAATAATAATAATAATGCATGCTTGAAAGTGAAACATAGGATTCAATCAAAAGCAGCTTCCAGGAGTCTGCAGGATGCATATGGGAGTGTGCTTTTTATAAGAAAAAAATATAGGGCGGAATGGAACATTAACTATTAAATTATGAGCAGAAAAAAGATAAGAAAAACAGCTGGTGCTTCTCTGTCTTGCATGCATCTCTTAAAAACGCGTTGTGTATACATAATCAAGGTACAGTCCTGATGGAATTATTTTGCAGAAATGCAACCGTTTGATGGGCTAAAAGCTGACGCCTGAATATTTGACTTTTGCTCTAGGAATTCTCAAAGGGTTTGTTTTGATAATAATTCACTTATGTAAAGGTACAACTGAAAGATAATCACTTTTTGCTTTGGAAAAGGCCATAACACACACATGAACATGTTGACATGCATCTTTTAGAGAAAAACTTCCTTTCCCATGTGGGGTCATGGGTTCACACAAGGAACAATTAAACATTGGAAGTGTAACGTTCTTTGTGTGGGGCCATGGGTTGGGTTGGGTTCACTTAAGGAGCAATGGACATGAGACTCGACCATTATAGTCCATAGAGCTACTTAGATTCGACCCAACTCATCTCTACACCCTCACAAAAAAGATCGTGGTCATGAATCGATTATGTAATGCGATATGGTGATCCAACGGCAGCTTAGGAATAATTAAGCTTGACCATATTTGTCGTTACACAAGTATATGAAAAGATCATTCCACGTTAAAATTATAAGCATCCATATTTCATTTTTGACAAGTTGATGATAATTTCGTGAAGGTCATTCCAATTAAACCCTATACCGCATGAGGCAAGTGACAACAAATCACTTGCATCACATGGTGATATTAGTCTTCAAAACCTCTATTCACACATGAAAAATATTTCATCAAATACTTAAATGTGAGAAATTTTTAAAATCCAGTAATGTAAATCAATTTTTATTTCTTCACACTACCTGGATATTTCATTATTAAAAAAAGAAGAAGAAGAAATATTCCCATCACAGAGAGATAGTAAGAGGGAGAGGCTTAAAATAGCATTGCAATCTTGAATGAAGGTGCCTAAGAAGAAATGGTAATGCTATTCATCCCCAATGAGGTTATAAACACAGTTTAAATTACTCTAAATGATGTGTTAAATGAAAAGTGAAATTAAATAAGTCATTTAATTTCATCTTTCATTTAACTTATCATTTAGAATTGCTTAAACTGTATTTGTAACCCCATTGTGGATGAATAATATTACTCAAGAAGAAAAGTGTCTGGACAATCCGTACATGCCTCTCTCCTTCCTCGTAGACACAAATGGGAACATACACTAAAATAATTAGGGAAAAAGCTGATTGAACAGCTTTACCAACACGCATTGTTTTCGGGACTGAAATGACAGCTCCTGATTGACAATTTTTTTCTTTTAATTTTTTAACTACTAAAGAAAATGCGTCAATTGTGCATCTATATAGCAAAACCCAACAATTAGATAATTTTCATAATTATATTTACATTAATTAATGGATTAGTAATTATTTTACATTAATTCAATAATTAGTGTCACGAATTTTGATGCACTATCTGGTGGCTGACAACATGATTCTTGTTATAATGTTAATTGCATGCATTTTTCTAAGAACTGTGCTACTGTTACAGAAAAAAATTCTGTAAAAACAACATCACACACACATGGGAGTGGACCCCATTTTTTATAATAATATTTTATTCACATGGGGTGGACCCCATGTGAGTATTCTAACATTTTTACAGATGAAACAATTCTGTACAAGTGGTTTAATTGTTTTTCTAACTACTTTGTCTACTTTCGTACTTTCTTAGGAGATTGAAAGAAATTTCATCCGAACAAATTTAAATAAGGATTGTTACATGAGAAAAATGACGCGACCGTACAAGGGTCCCCTACATCTGCCAATACTTGAGAGCCTACATTACAATTTGTGCCAATTAGCTCATACCCTCGATCTAGCTCAAGTCTCGTATTCACTTCAATAGTCCGGTACAATTCAATTATAGCCCGCTATGCTACCCTTACGCAAGGAATTGATGAATAATCAACCTGAGAAATCCCTAGCACAAACAACGCCTCAATGAGATTCAACAAAGGACCTAACTTTCGGACTTTGTTGTGGGGCCTAGCCGTCTAGGGGGAGAGTCAATCCTTCCATTAACCACCTGTTTTGGAATGATGATCAAAGTGGTCAATGACGTCATGGTCCAAAAATTATTCATTATATTCGAATTTTCGCCTACCTCGATCTTGTACTACTCAACATCCTAAATTTAGGACCCCTAGATTTACACATACACATGAAGTTTTTGCCAATCAGATTGTCTAAGATCGTACATCTCGATACGATGCATCCATATGGAAAAACTGATTAAACTAATCTCGAGGGTAGAGTACCTTTTTAAATATGAGATGGGGATGTGGTGTGAACTAGTACAATGGAAAGTACCATCCGTACTTAGGTTGCATATATTAATGAGAATAAGTTAAGATTAATAATAGAAAGCATTCAATGCAGGCAAGCTTTGCCAGCTAAGGTTGTGTACGATTTTATCTCTGTTTGGCAAAAACTATAATTGATCAAAATTCATTATTTTCCACACATTTTAATGTACTCATAATTACTGTTCATTTGTCCACCACTCAATTCTATCTACACATGAATTAAACCATTTATAAATTCTTCCGAAACATAGGCAAAATTGTTAAGGTCAAAAAGCCAATTGATATTTGGTTTGTTTTTATTCATTTTGTAACAGCTTTGGATAAATTAAGGATGGGCAAAAGTGCAATGAATTGGAGGGATATGAATATATTACATTGGTTAATCATCTTTCAATTCTCTTGATATATCTTATAGGGTGTTTGATGTGGACTAAAATTTGAGTTTTAGTAAATTGTGATAAAAGTTTTTGAAATATGTTGTTGAAAAGTTGTAGGACCCATAAAAGATGTGGTTAATATTGATTGTTTGACTTTGATTTAAATTAAAATCAGATTTTAATCCGAACAAAACATGATGTAAATAAGTTAGGACTTATTTGATTAAGCCCCTATTTGATGTGAATTTTAATCTTGGTAAAAATTTAAATCAAAATTAACAATTAATTTTAATAATACGTTTTATGTGACTTACAACTTTTGAAACGCATATTTCATTCACTTTTATCAAAATTTAAAATTAATCTAATTTTTAGCTTTACCAAATAGGAACTATAAGTATGATTGGACAGTTCTAAAGAAGCGCCTTCATGTAATGAAGTTCTTTGTCTAACAAAAATGTTACTTGTACACACTTGATATATAATCCTCTCACATGTGTGTGGACACATGTGAGAGGGTTGTGTACCAAGGCGTGTAAGTGTAGCAAGGTTCTTTGTCTAATTCATTAAACCATTTATGACATATCACTGAGCCTTAATGAAACAATACTTCTATCAAATCAACAATACAATTTATGTTAAATGAGGAACATTTATAATACAATTTAACTTGAAAGAAATATTTATTATTGCATCATTACATGTCCCATAACGAATTACATGGTATAGGGGTACAAATTTATATGTTTCTCTCTTCTGAATTCTTGTTTTCTAAAAAATTCAACTACACTATATTTTTTGTCACTGTCAGTGATGTCTTCAAGAAATAACTGAAGATCATCCAATAAATGAAAGTATAAATAATAGTGAATGAGTTGGATCAATAGTCGATATGACTTTGAGCGTATGTTTGGTACACAGTACTAGACAATATTAATATTTTCAAGTGCTACTCAATAATCTGACCAATTGTGCCCCGGTCTTGATCAGCAGAAGCTCCACAAAGGGATGTCGATATCATCGTAAGGATCTTCCATTATTAATGGATCAAAGAATGACCCGTTAAGGAGGATATCTGTATATTTAGGGGAATCAAAGTTGTACCATGAGGCCATTATTGGCTCATCTGCAACATAGGGTACTGTGTAGTCATTGATCAATGGTGGTGTTAATGAGACAGCATCATCTTCAATGAGGCTGCAGGCAGGTGATGAAGAAGATAAAGTTGGAGACGGTGTTAATGGTGGTGGAGTTGGTGGCGTTGAGGCTGAGGAAGTGGAAGTGGAAGAGGTGCAAGGTCCGGGTGGAGAAAAGCCATTGTTGGCAGCTGCGGCGGCAGCCACCCTTTGGATGCACTTAGGGGACATAATCGTATTAGGGTGGAGGTTTTGAAATTTGGATATTGGGAAGTTGAAATTGGCCGAAGTTCCCTTAAGGCATAAGAGAGCTGCATCATATGCCCTAGCAGCTGCCTCTGGTGTTGAATATGACCCTAACCATATTCTTGTTTTCTGGTTGGGTGCCCTTATCTCAGTAACCCATGATCCCCAGCTTCTCATTCTAACTCCCTTGTACTTCTTTTTGCACAAGGATTTCGAACTCAAAGATGATGAGGATAAAAGGGAAGAGGGCGACAAAACTTCTTTGGCTGCCCCTGATTGGATCTTTTGCTCTTTCTTCACCATATTCGTGTCGTCTTTGAACTCAACTCTTGTGTTACTTGAATCGACAAACAACTGAACCCTGATCGAATCTCGAATCTGGAGGCACCTTTTCAACTCAAGATGTGATGAGCTAAAATCAGTGAAGAATCAAGGAAATATTTCTCTGTTCTTTGTACATCTGATAAGGAAAATGCAATTGAGAAGTGATTATTTAGGAGAAAGGATTGATATTTATAGATGAGGTTTTGGGTTCGATGTGATGAACAGATCTATAGTCGAGGATAGTAACGTCTTCATGTAGTATGAAATGGGTGACAGATAATTTCCAATATTTTAATTTAACAAAAAAACATTTACCAATGATAATGACATTTCTGTCCCTTGGTGAAACTCCTTTTGAATTGACATAGTAATAGTTAATAGATTTGAAATCGACTACATAGGTAAGTTTCCAACATTTGATTTGACTTCCAGTTATATAATTTGACTGAAGGATAAAATATAGCTAGATCTTTAACGACTGCAATATATTCTGCATCTTTTGTTGAGATTTTTATACTCATATAAATTGAATTCTCTGCCCACAAAAGAAAAGTCATATCAAAATTTATTTTCATTCGATATCACCTTCTTCAAGACAATTGTGTATTCCCAATTCATATCTTATAACTTTATAAAGAACCCATGTCAATTAAGTGAAATTGTTATTTTACTTACAGTGGACATGATAAGACTGTTCATTTGTTGATGCGGCAAGAGAACCTTATTTACGGTTCTTTCCAAATAGAAGAACCTTAAGTTTATCGTGCCCGCTTGCTGATGTGGTAGGCGAACCGTACTTACGGTTCTCTCAAAATATGAGAACACTTACTGATATAGGAGGAAAACTTTATTTACGGTTTTCTCCAAATGTAAGAACTTTAGAGAGAACCGTAAGTAATGCTCCATCCAAAAATAAGACTTTTCATCTAACAGAACATTTCTAGTCAAATAAGATTCTATTTTTACTAAGTTATCTTTTACCGGTTCAAAACTTTGATGAAGTATTAGTTTCACCATAAATATAATGAAGCTTCTCCTCCTTTTCCTTGCCAATTGAATATTTATATGTTGATTACAGCTGAGAAGTGCCAAGTTTTTCTAAAGCCAACACACATGATCAGAAAATTAAGGCACACTTTTGAAGTCTGGATTGCATAATTTAATAAACCAGCAATTATATATTTTATTGCATTCTAGAGTTCTTCACTCATACCACAAGTCACCACATAAAATGAATACAAAAATAAAAACAGGAGTAAAATGTGAATTTTTGCCATATGGGTTTATAAATATATATATAAAATATAATCATTAATATATTATTAACAAGGGTAAAATTTTATTAAGTCCTTTATATATGAAACATGAACTATAATTCGATGGAATTTCGAGACTCAATATCGTATTAAAGATAAAGAAAAAAGTTCTAATGAATAATTCTATCTATCAAATACTCAAATGAGAAATTGGGATTCATCAAAATTATCAAATAGATCAAGGTTATTCATCACCATTAGTGTTAAGCACGATTATTAAAATGCAAAGTCTCGTGATTCATTTAATTGAAATTATAAAGTGTAGTCACCTATACTGTTGCTCTTGCACTACTGGTATTATATAATATTATTCTTCCAAAAAAGTCACTATCTAAATTGGGCGGACCCATGAAAGAATTTTAGTGGAGGCGAAACAAAAAAATCTTGGGAAAAAATCTGAAAACCTAAAAAAAACCTGAACAAAAAAAAAACTAAAAAGATTTGAAAAATTGAAGAAAAATCGGGAAATCTGAAAATTGAGTGGGGCCTCAGGTAGGTCCGCCCCTTTTTGAGTGCATTGTAATGGTAAAAATCTCATGTTGGTTGGTAATCTCTCTATAAATACGTGAATACAATAATGAATGATATAGAGGGAAACATGGGATTCTATGAAAAGCAGCTTCTAGGAGACTGCAGGATGCTTACGGGGGTGTGCTTGTCTGAGAATAATCAAGAAACTAAAAGCAATCTAAAAAACAAAACGCGCAATGGAGCAGTAAATAACGTAGCATTAATTATAAGCAGAAAAACAGCTGGTGCTTCTCTGTCTTGCATGCTTCTCTTAAAAACGCGTTATCTATACATAATCAAGGTACATGTCTACATGAGATGAGATAATGGAGTTTTTTTCTCTTTTTTTTTTGTCAAGCCTCTCGTGAGGGGAGAGAGAGAAAAAATATTGCTATTTTTTTCTTTTTGTTTGTAACACTTTCTGATTATACTGAAAGTCCTCAATCTTTTACCGTAGCTATATTTATATCCTCAAAGAATTTCCTATAACTTACCTTAAAGGTAAACAAACCCATTTTTTTCTTTTTGAGTTGCTAAATTTGGATAAAGGACAAAAAAATAAAGATTTTTTAGAATTTTATTTTTATTTTTATTTTTGCTTAAATAAAAGAACAAACAAACCCAAAAAAAAAAAAAACTAAAAATAAAAAAAAATCAAACAAACCCAAAAAAAAAAAAAACTAAAAATGAAGAAAAATATTAGGGAAATAATAATTAAAAAATAGGAAAAAATTGTGAAAAAATCGTGGAATAAAGTGAAATCATTTTTTTCCCCTTTTTTTAGGTTAATGAATCTAGGATTATAAGTTTTTTTTAACGTTACAAGTTTTTCTATCAAAGATTGAGTTTTTCTAAGAATTAAAGATATTGAATCAATTAATCTACAATACTTCACTAAGAAATCAACTTATTATTTATATATCTTATATATTGTGATGAACTTGATAATGAAATATAGAAAAAGAATACACACACATATATGAGTGCACAATAGGGATATTAACGAGTGGAGCTGGATCGCGAGCCGAAACTTGAGGCTCAGGCTCGGTTCGAGTAAAAATGGTTCCTGCTTTTTTTGTCCTGAGCTGAGCCAAGCTTTTGCTCGACCAAAAAAATCTAAGCTTGATCGAGCTTGAGTCGGCTCACGAATTTATTTATTTTAAAAATATCAGGCAGCTACACACTGTCGCAACTGAGTTTTATTTTTAATTTTTTTTTATTGGGTTTGTCATTGGCCGAAAATAACCCAGGACACGAGCTGGCCCGCACGGGCTGGCTAGAGCCCCAAAATGGGGCTCGGTGGCTCGGACTTTTCTCTAACCGAGCCATGGGCCGTCCAAACTGACGAGCGAAATTGATACCCCTAATGCACAATGAAGTGGTTATTAATTCAATTTACTTGTGACTATTTTAGTAAATAGAAAAATAATTTAAAAGTGTCGAGTAACAAATAAAAATCGTGGTATCAATATAACTATCTACTAGCAAAATGACTACTTTTACTTGTTAAATGTCAATTTTACCCCCTTTTTTTGGTGAAGACATATATTTTCTCGATAGCTTAAAGAGTGTTCTAGACGGTTGAGATGATCGTGAATAAATAAATTGTCTTTAAAGACTCATTGTGGAAAAGTTCTCATAAGATGAATGTTTTCTCGACAGCTTGGAGTGAGCAACAGAGTTGTACTTGCTGCAAATAAATGAATTGTCTTGAAAGTGACCATTTTTTGAAGGAAATTAATAAAATGCACCCTAGTTTTGGTGAAGACAAATATTTTCTCGACGGCTTAAGAGTGTTCTAGATGGTTGAGATGATTGTGAATAGATAAATTGTCTTGAAAGACTCATTGTGAAAAAGTTCTCATAAGATGAATGTCTTATCGACAGCTTAGAGTGAGCTTTAGAGTTGTACTTGTTACGAATAAATGAATTGTCTTGAAAGTGACCATTTTTTAAAGGAAATTTATAAAATGCACTCTGCATATAGGGTGTGATTACATTTTACACTATCTTATTTTGTAAAAAAATTCACATTTTACATAATATTTCAAAAAGTATTTTTTGCTGAAAATTTTACAAATATGCTACTATAAATAGCTAAACGGATTAAAATACTCTTAATTCAAATAACAAATTACAGTTTATATACATTATATAGAGTTTTGCATATTATATTTCCAAATATTGATATTTTTTCATTAAAGAATGTTTTTTAAATAAAACGTATAAAATTTATTATATTCTTTTTCTAAACTCTTACATATAATCAATAAAAATTAATTTTAGTAAGTTAATAAAATATTAAAAAGTTTAGAAACTACTTTATTTGACTCTTCTAAATTTTGCTAAAACAAATAAGAATTCTTAATTGCTATATTCTAATTAACAAAATTTGTTCAATGAATAAAAATTCAAAACAATTTATTAAAATAATTTTTGACATTAGAGTTTATTTTGTAGACAAAATGCCATCAGCCATCTTCACCCTCGCATCAGCGATATGATTGAAGTTGACAGGTCGAGTATCAATGAAACTTCCTTCATTAAGCAAGGAGGGTTTATGACTTGTTTGAACCACCTTTTTATAGAATGAGAATGAAAAATATAATCGTTATTGGGCCTCACACAAGAGATAGAAAATTTGAATTTAAATGTTGATGTGATGGATAGTGGTCATATTTTTCATTTTAATGAGAAAATAAGGTGGCCCTAACGGGGGCGGAGTAATTGAGTTATTCCCCAGAATTTGTGCAGGATGCACAGGCAGCATCCTGTGCATGTGTGTATGTATTTTTTTCCCATCTTTGAATCTGTATTGTTCATTTCAAATTTCTGTACCAATTTCTATACTTGTAGACTGATTTTTAGTAATTAGTAAAATGAAAACATTAAGTACAAGAGGAAGCGTCCCTTATAAAAGTTCCGAAATTCGAAGGTTTTCTCTTTATTTATTTATTTTTGAACTTTACCACTACTTGACTTAAGTTTACAAGAACGGCGTGTGTATTTTATTTTCTAGATCTCTTTTACTACATTTTCACACATACACAAAAACTCGTAAATTAAATTCTAGAATTTTTCTCCTACTTTCTCTCCCTCTATGTAAATTGTGACAGGGTGTTAAAAATTTGAAAATGTAGAAGAAAAAAATTA